GGTGACAGAGCGAGACTCCGTCTCAAAAAATAAATAAATAAATAAAATAAAAATACAAAAATTAGCCAGGCATGGTGACACGTGCCTGTAGTCCCAGCTACTTAGGAGGTTGAGGCCGGAGAATTGCTTAAACCTGGGAGTTGGAGGTTGCAGTGAGCCAAGATCGCACCACTGCACTCCAACCTGGCGATAGAGCCAGACTCCATCTCAAAAAAAAAAAAAAAAAAAAGACAGTCCTGTGGAATCAGTCATTTAAAGATTGGGGAGAGAGAAAACCAGAGGGCTGAGGTATTGCTGAAGGCTTCAAGAGGAAGGCTCAGCAGCAGAGATGACATGGTGAGACTGGTGCCAGGATGGAGGTCACATCAGTGGACAAAGGTGTCAGCAAGTGAGTGGCAATGCCCCATGCTAGAAGCCCAGGTGACTGCCATCGGATGGGAGAGGCATGTTCAAGAACGCTGGGCTCCTAGCTCCTCTACTCCCCGTCTCTCAAGCCCAAGATTTCCACCTTGCTTGTTTCCGTCCTGTCAGAATTAGAAACAAGTGATATAGTAGCTCTTAATTGGGGGATGGGGCATGGCTCCCTTTGAGAATCCTATAAAAACTATAAGCCCCTCCCATTAAAAAGTGCACATTAGCCCACGCCTGTCCTGTTGTGCGCGCAGTTCCCCTTGCTAGGACTCAAACTCAGACTTCCTCCCATTATTGCCTCTAGTCCTGCATTCATTCCCTCCCTTTAGCCCACAGAACCTTTTTTTTTCTTTTTTTTCGAGACAGGAGGCTTGCTCCATTGCCCAGGCTGGAGGGCACTGGTGCAGTCTCGGCTCACTGCAACCTCCACCTCTCAGGTTCATGCGATTCTCCTGCCTCAGCCTCCCAAATAGCTGAGATTAGGTGCCTGCCACCATGCCAGGCTAATTTTTGTATTTTTAGTAGAGACAGGTTTTCACCATGTTGACCAGGCTGGTCTCAAACTTCTGACCTCAGGTGATGCGCCCGCCTCAGCCTCTGAAAGTGCTGGGACTATAGGCGTGAGGCACTGCGCCAGGCCCTTTTTAAATTTTTTTAGAGACAGTGACTTGCCCTGTTGCATAGGCTGGAGGATACAGTGGTGCAGTCTTGGCTCACTGCAGCCTCGATCTCCCAGGTTAAGGAATCCTCTCACCTAGGCCTCCAAAGTAGCTGGTACTACAAGTGTGTGTCACCACGCATGGCTAACTTAAATTTTTTTTTGTAGAGATGGTGTCAATATGTTGCCCTGACTGGTCTCAAACTCCTGGGCTCAGCCAATCCTCCTTCCTTGACCTCCTGAAATGCTGGGATTGCAGGCATGAGCCACTGTGCCTGGCCAATGGTCTTTGAGGATGAAGAATTTTAGCCAGAACCTGAAGGATATATCTGGCTCTATTTAGATTTGAAAATACATAATGTCTCAAGAAAAGCAAAACAAAACGCCTCACTGAAGGAAACAGGGTTAGTGTGGTGATATATGGGTGATTTTTTTTTTCCTTTTCTCCTAAAGACTTTCATTCATAGGATTGTCCTTGATTCTCGCCCATCAGCAAACACTGGTAGGCTCCACCTTCAAGTCTTATCCAGAATCAGACCACCTCACCTCATCTACTGCAGCCTCCCTGGGCAGGGCCTGGCCTCCTTCAGTCTGTTCTCACCACACGGCCACCAAAGGGATCCTTTTATTTTGACTGATTGATTGATTGATTGATATGGGGTCTGACTCTGTCAGCAGGCTGGAGTGCAATGGCACGATCTCACCTCACTGCAATCTCTGCCTTCTGGACTCAAGCAGTCCTCCCACCGCTGTCTCCCGAGTAGCTGGGACCACAGGTGCACGCCACCACACCCAGTTAATCTTTTTGTATTTTTGGTAGAGATGGGGTTTCACCATTTTGCCCAGGATGGTCTCAAACTCTTAAGCTCAAGCAGTCTACCCACCTCAGCTTCTCATAGTGCTGGGATTAAAGGTATGGGTCACCACGCCCAGCGCCTTTTAAAAGAACGGTTGGATCATAGCATTTATCTGCTCATAACAATGGCTTTTGCTTCCCTGCTCACTCAAAAGAAATTCCTTCTTCACTGCAGAACTGCCCCTCCTACCACAGGATGTTTAGGGTCCCTGGCTGCAACCCCCAAAGGTCCTAATGGTGCTGGTCGTGGGGGAATCCACACCATTGTGACAACTGAATATGCCCACATGATGCCCAAGGTTTCAGTCCTGGCCACACCCCTTCCACTGTGTCACCGTGCTGGGTTGGTTTCTTCATCTAAAAAATGGCGATGGGGATAACAAACTTGAAAAAGGGTCATGTGAGTGAGGTGTCCAGCATCGGGGGGTGTCTGGCATCGGGGGGTGTCCATCATCGGGGGGTGTCCGGCATCGGGGGGTGTCTGGCATCGGGAGTACTTAATAAAGGGTCCCCATTGATACCAGCCGAGGCATAAGCAAACTCCACTGCTCCTATTATCTGCACCTGAAAATTTGCACCTTGCGTGTATGTGGATCCTTTTCCAATTTCTTCTGTATTAAACATTCTCTCCTGTATCAGAAAGTAAGGTTATGGGTTGGAGCTAAAAATCTGCCCTTCGATCCATCCCCCCGATGCTGGCCATAAGGATGGGCTGCAGACAGCAGCTCCCTTTCTTTCACTGCCGCCCCCAGCTCCTCTCTTCCACTGCGGGCTGTGTGAATCAGGCTCCAACACTTCCACTGTGTGATCCTAGATCAGTGTGTGAACCTCCCAGAGTTTCCGTCTCTGCAGATGGATGTGCTGACAGCCCCTGCCATAGGGCTGAGCTGAAGGGGAAATGAGACAGTGAGGGCAAAGCGAGCCTGGTGCCAGGCATGTGCCAGGCATTCAGCAGTGGCTAGCCATGGTAGCCTGTCCCTAAAGTCCTGGGCACCACGTCCCCACCCCCTCAGTTCCTTCTGGCTTGACTTCAGGAGCTGGATTCCCTCCTCCTGCCAGAAAAATCCAGCTCATACTGCCTAAGGCACAAATTCTCACACCAACCACTAGGTTCTGTGAGGTCCTGGCCAGTCCCAACACCGTGAAGCAGGAGGGCAGGCGAATTTGAGCAGAGATTGTTTCTGTTTGGCATCAGCCTCTGCCAATGCCCAGGAAAGCTGGAATGCTCTCCTGCAAGGGTGACATTTCCCCACACGCTAAACATTGTCTTTTTTTTTTTTTTT